GCTCACTTAATATATTTACTTATAAAAATGACAAATCACAGACACTGGATGAGGTTAATTTTGCAGACATTTAGCAGGCAAATTCCCACAACCAGGACAGATGACAATTGATGAGTTCCTTAGAAACGATGCCTATATTGCTTCTATAATAGTGTAAAATAGCTAATTTTTAGATTTATGAAATCTAATATGCCAAAATCCTCAGCTGACATGCATCGGTGAAGCTGTGCTGGCTTATGTGAACTGAAAATAAGACATTGTGTCTTAAGTACTGTTTGGTTGTAACTTTTGGAATAATTGGTATATATACTTATGAATGACAAGCTTCTCAAAGTATGCATGTTTTGGTCAGTGTTTTGTCATAGGGATGGTTTGAGTGATGAGTATTTTATTGAATTGGGAAAATATTTTCTGTGACCATTATTAATATGTGTACTTCTTTGCTGAATTTACTTTTCTTACTGCTAAAAATTCTAAAGATTATTGACTTGTACTGTGAGTCTTTTCCACCCTATTTTTTATTGCAATCTCAGACACATATTTGAGGTAGGAATAATATTTTTAATGAGTAAATTCATAAAACCACATAAGGGAATTCTTACTTAACACAGGCAAAATCGGAGATACAGTACATGGGCTATAAGCCAGGCCACTACTTTTAATAGTTTTTCTTCCAAGAAATTAGGCTTTAGCATGTGTGATTTCTCAAGCCTCAGTGACAAGATAACAGACATTTGTAATCCTTAGTTATTTGTAAATCGTATCAATGATACTTAGAAAGTGCGGTTATTAGAAAAGAATTGAAGAATAACAGTCCATCTGTATTACTACCGTTTGTGAACATGATGTTCAAATAGAAGAGTTTCTGGTACCCTGTTTTAAATTTGGTGATCACATATACTTATGTGTTTGTGCATTGTATTTTAAGGAGCTTTTTTTATGATTGTTTTTTCAGTACAGTTTAAGAGAAATAACAGGTCCCTTCAGTATGTCATAATTAATCAGATTTCACATGATACCATTTCAAAAGTGGTCCAAAAGAAGGAAAAGGTGAGACATTAACTGACCACAGAAGAATGTGCTATACACTGCAGTACAGATTGATTACAATAGCATGTTTATTATGGATAATTCAAAGACTTACCTTCTAAAACACATAAGAAGAAAAAGAAAAGCAATAAGATCATCGCTATATATTATGCCTATCGAAATAACATATATTTGCTTCATCTATGCACTTCCACTAGCCCAGTGGAAGAAGAAAATGTGCAAAGCACTCTTAAGTGAGCTATTCCAAATGAAATTACATTGTTGCATACAGCTACAGTTTAACTACAATAAATACCCTGATAATTGATATTAATATATTCATTAATATTCTCTTTGCTGGTAAATACGAAATAATGCCAAACTTCCCTGTTAACGTGAATTTTGCAGTGAAGGTGACCACCAAGAAAGCTATCTATCTTTAAGGGTTCAAGATGTGGTGATATAAGATCATATCCAGATTGTCAACATAATCGAGATTGTGATATAAGAAGAAATTCTTGTAGGATAAGGTCAGGGTCAATTAGGCTGTAAGTCTTCAGTATGTTGCATACAGGGCGTTCACAGCTCCTTCACAGAGGTCCTTTGGCTTCACTGGGGCTCAGACCAGAAATGGATAGGAAGTAAGAAAGGGATGGGTCCCCGCAGGTGTGGTAGACAGCCAAGACTCATGTTTTGGAATTAAATCGATCCAAGGCGGATGACTGCTGTCGGACAAGTACACTTTCTAAAACTTCCAGATAGAGGTCCAAATAATGCATTTGTGCTATGCTAGCCTTTCACACAGAGGAAAATGTAATGACTTGGAATGTAAAAGACAGATCAGATTGGATGGAAATCACAATTATTTTTCTCAGTCATTTTTATGTTGACCATAAAGAGTCTGATCTTGTGAAGTACTGACTTACATTGTCATGCTCATTGTCAGTAGGCAGCTGACGAGGCTGCTGATTGTCTTACATGAATCACTTTGACTCCTTTGAAACAACAGAATATGATTAAAAGAAATCATTACTGAAGAGTTAAACATCATTACACTTTCACTTTTGCAATGAATTGTTTTGCAAGCCTTACCTAAAACTTGCTTCAGAATGGCAGTAAATGCAAAATTAATTTGAAGAGGGTAGCAGATTTTTCCCAAATGTTTCATCCATATTAATTTAAACTAAATTCTAAAGACTAACACTCTTCCCCCAAAGAATAACAAGAGATTAATTTCTTAAAATTATTGCTATATTTAGCAGCTCATAACATCACCAACATGCACATTTCTGTGATTTAGGTTTAATACAAATATTTCAAAATATCAGATCTGAAAAATGCTCTCCGTTTTTATTACAGGCCTGTTCAATAAAATATATACCTTTGGTATAATATGTTTTATTGCATATAGCAAACCATTTTCATTATCATCAAAAATATATTTTAGCACTTGTGAATTACAGGGGACTTTAATTCCTCAGGTAACCCACAATATTGGATACAGTATCTTGAACCGGTTCATAACTATGTAGATACAACAAACGTACATTTTCTGTTGGAAATGGCAAGTGTAAGATCTTTGAGAATTCTAAATTTACTAATGATTAAGCTATTTAAACTATCTTTATGCTACTTTATTAGATGCATCGTAAGACATTATTTTCACTGAAAATATGCTGTAAATAAGGCAAGTTTTGTAAGAATTTAGTGGTTTTCCTTACATGAAAAACTTTTCTTATAAGGTGGTCGTGCCTCCCTTGCTATTCTGAAATCACTACACACAAAGCAATAAAATTACAGAGCTAAGCATCCTCCAAGGATGAAATCACAGTGAAGAAAGCTGTGATAGACTTTATGCTGTTAATCTATGTCGTATCATATTACATCATATGATGATACCACAATAGAAGAGAGCTGGTTATTTACACAGTGGTTCTGACTGGCAAATGTAAACAAAGATGAGTCAAGCACCTCAGCAATGCATTGACTTGCTAGCTCATCTCCAGGGTTTTACACCATTGTTCATTAGTTCCGTTGTCAACTTGACATGAGGCACCTATTTTTAAGGTAAGAAACTGGTCAGTTGATGAAGCATCAGTGTGTTTTTCAAGTAAATATGTATCTGTACCCTTTTGGTTCATTATTAAGTCAAGGATACACTAATCAAGAAAGACGAAATGCTGTTAGATTTTGTCCTGGTTTCAACTGGGATAGAGTTGATTTTAGTTAATTAGAGTTAAACCATGACAGATTTGTATGCAGTTTAAGGAATTATGTAACATAGAGTGACTGTTGGTTTTGAAGACATAACCTCAAGAAAATCTCCAGTACAGCAAGTGATAACATAAATGACCTTTTTACATAAAGTCCACGATTTAATATAGATTAACAGAAGTCTCATGGCTATTCAGAAACTCTTAGTCCAGTTGAAATAATTGGAATTGGCTTGGAAAAGCTCAAGTGTACTTGAACGTCAGTGTAGGTATGAACTCTTGAGCATTAAAAGGTATGACAGTTGGAGCATTTTTCCAGAACCTAATGCTCCTTCTTTTTAAGGTCAATTTGAAGGTGAATCCTATCGTGAATTGCTTTTCTCCACCAGAGGACTTCATTATAAACAGAGATCCATTGTTGCAGGAGACAGCCTGTCTAGCTATTGTTCCTCACTTCACAGCATGCTTCCCCTCACTGAAGAGGTTGCCTGCTGACAGTAGAAAGTCCACATAGCAGGTCTTGTCCTGACAGTCACACGTTCCTCCTTGTACCAGGGGCAGAAATAGCATCTTCTCTTTTCTGTTAATTAAAGGTGTCTAATTGTTCTAGGTTATTACACTGTGTTCGTCATTGTGGTAAACACCTAATTATTATTTTGAAAAGCTTATCTGTGGCAGGTTACAAAATAACCTGTAGTCTCAGGCTATTCTCAGGAGATCGAGTTGAGAATAATTTTCTAAATATTTTTCATTTCCCAGGGTTTCGTGAGCTTAAGATTCTGCTAACCAGACAAAACCGTCATCCTCACCCACCATCCCTCTTAAATGCACTAATTGTCTTCTCACAGAAGTTTAGAACTTCTGTACTGTACACAAGTGAGAAATAACAGTCCTTCCTCACTTATATTTCTAGGAGGTGTTTCCCCAGAAACTCCTCTGAGGCACTTCCCAATTTCATGAATTACTGTCTCTTCAAAAAGAATGGCGGTTTATATTTCTCTTACCACCCCTCCTACACATTTTTTCATGCCCAAATGGCTTGAGCTGCTGAATCACAGCTCTTTTCTTTCCTTGCTGTTTATCCTCCTGCCCTTGTAGCTTTGAAGATAATCAGTCAGGTATATTTCTCCTCCTAAAAGCTATTTTAAAATTGGTAAGTAAATTGCAAATGACATTCCTAGGAGGGCTGGTGAGGTTTAATCTCCCAAAAATGAATAATCATTTCCATGTTAGGAGTAAAGCAATATAGGTAGAGGTACTTAACAAAAATGTTAATGAATTTTCAATTACCTTGATTTCTCACTTCATATTTCCTAATATATTTCATAATGGTCTGATTTAATCTTTTTAAAGAAATTCTCAGAGGTTTTAGAATCAGGACCACAACCTGGCTAGAAGAAGCAGGCAGAAAGTGGTAGGAATAGTTTTGTGATTTCTTGTATCGAGCAGGCAATGTGGATACTTCTGTTTCAATCTGTTTCTAGTTGTTTATCTCCATTTAACGGAAAAATAAAGTATCCATGCATAATTTCATAATTTCCTCAAGGATATAATTGTGTTGTTATACGAGAGATATACCATTGTATAACAGGATCTGTATGTCAAGGCTCTGTAACTTGAGTTCCCAAATACCATGCAAAGAATTTGATCAAAGTGCGTTCAGTGTAGAAGAGACATTTCACTATAATATTTAACAGTAGGTCTAATAAAACAGATACTTTATTTGGATGCTGTTGAGTGACAATACGATTCCCATTTTCAGACAGAGTCCACCTTCACCTGATTGTTGTTTGTAATCAATGGAGAAGGTTTACTTCTCATCCTATCTCCTGCATCATTAGAACTATCCTGGAAAAAAACTTTTGCTGTACAAAAAGTGACAATAATTCTCTTGTATTCTCTTCTGAAGTTCTGGTTCAGGAGTCCATATATGATAGCATTAAGGCAGCTGTTGAAATATGCCATGTAATAACTAGATACAAACAACCACTCTGGAATCCTAGGGATTACAGTTTCTGGGTTGACAGCCACAGCAAGGCCTATAAAGTTCAAAGGAGCCCAGCAGACTGCAAACAGTACAAACACCACAAACATGGTTACAAAGTTTCTGAAGTCATGTGGTTTCAGTCTGGGGTTGTTATCTGGTTTAACCCTTCGCCTTACCTGAATAACAAGGATCCATATTCTCAAGTAACAGAAAGTAACTACGGCTATAGGAAGCAGGAAATGGAAAAACACAACTGCTATTGTATATGCTGAGCTCACAGACTGTGCAAATGTACACGAGTAAATCCTGGGGTCATATTGTAGCGATCCCACAAACAGGTTGGGCACTATAGCAACAAATGTTAGGACCCAGATAAGAACAACATAGCACAATGAGTTCTTGTCACTGTACAGCTTGTCATATTTGAGACTGTGGCAGATATAGCAGTACCGATTGATAGCGATGCCTGTAATATTGAAGATTGATCCAATGACACTTAGGCCCATCAAGAAGCCACTAATCTGGCAGTGAAGGTATCCCAGATTCCATCCGTTGTGAAATACAGATGTGAGGACCAGTGGATATGGGTAGATTGCTACAACCAAGTCTGCAACTGCCAGGCTTACAACAAACACATTTCCTGTAAAATAAATATAAAAAGGCAAGTATTAGTTTTTCTTTTGCTCTCTTCTGTCACTTCTGCTCTCAATATATTAATGAGCGGCCTTAGTGGAACATTTTAAATGTAATTAGTTTCTACTTTCTAGATGAAAATTCATTGTCATATATCAGAAATGACACTCATTTTTTTATCTGAAGAGGAAGTAGCTTAACTTAAAGATGCACCTTTTAAAAGAAAACCATCTTTGAGTTTAATTACTGTGACCTAATATTTTTATCATCTCATTTATTTGGATTCTTCCAATCACACAGACTAAGAATTCATATCAAATTAAAATATTCATAACTTTAAGCCTTGCTTTGGCATTAAATAGTGTCTCTTGAAAAATCAGAAGAAATAACATAAATCCTAATAAATTTCAAAACTCACTTTTACCTTCCATATTTAATTTAATTCCCTTTCCTTACATTACCCTTTAACTTTTCTAGTCCTGAAATGAAAATCTTTTTTTCCCATTTGTATTTCAAGCTTTCATGACTTTAAAGTGACATTGAAAGTGACTTTTTTTTGCATCTGCTGGCTAGCACTTAGCTAAACTTAACTTCTAAGAGTCTAGCTGAACACACACTTAGTTTTCTGTCCTAAATTGAGACATACTCTTCAGTAAAAGAAGTGGGGCTGGGCAGTGACATAGGCAGTTCCCAGATACTATTGATGCCATGTTCTTCTCTGCCGCCAAACTCGAAAATTAGACAATGATGCTTTCTCTTGCTTCGTTTTTTAATTAAAACAAAGGGAGATTGTTTTAGACTGTGTTAGTTCTTGATAGAACCCCTCTCTTATTCTTCAAAGACAATAGAACCCATCGTTACTACATGATTTGAATTAATCTTTTCAGCATAGATTAGATATTCGTTTTTCAGTTGCTTAAATGATAACTCATTGAAATGCCTCCCAACCATTCTAGTTTCTAAGAAGGTGGTCACAAGGTACATTGATATAGCTTTTATTCATTTTTAAAAAATAACTACTACTTGTATTGGTCTAGTTATTCATGTCCATATCTATAGAAAGCTATACATGTGTATATATATATGCATGTGTGGAGGTATATAAATGCCTGTGTATGCATGTATACATAGGTATCTGTGTGTTTGAGACTGTATTTTGGAATTCTGAGACTATTCACTGAAGGTGAAATGCAAGCTCCTATTCAACCTGTAAGACAATATATTGCTAGTTTCAGATGATGTAAAATATCATTATTAATCCAAAGTGGGCTCGGTGAACAGTTTTATGCATTTATTCTGATAAGACAGAATAACAAATAGATAAAAATAGATTAAAAGAAAAGGTAAAAGTACCTATGGACCAATAGGGCATTTCAGCTGCTGTAATTCTCAAAACTGTTTTTTTAATATATTATCTCAAAAACCTTAAAATGCACATTTTCTCACTAATCTTACACTTTAAATGGCCAGGTAGAAATACTAAGTCTACAAACACCTACAGAGAAAAACACAGAAAACATTGTCTGGCTCAGGATGATACTTATTCTCTTCTGTTTAAATTTTGATACCTGCACAAAGTACCACGTTTGACATTTATACTAATGGCAGCTGGGACAAATAGCCTCAGTTAAAAGATTGCTATACTAGTTTTCATAGATTTTGTATCTGGCTTTATAAATAACTCTCTCGACGGTGTCTGTAGTTGTTTCTTCTTTTGCCCAGGAATTCACTGCCAGACTGAAATATGCTTATCCTGAAGGCTTTGACAGAATTCGAGATCATTTCAGCACAGACAGCAGAGCTCCTTTAAGCAGAAGAAGAAAAGGGGAAAAAAAACCACATTGCTTTCAGAATTTACCCTTGACATAATGGCAAGTGATACAAAAATGGATAAAGAGACTATATGAAACTCAGAGCTCTGTGCTTATCTTATGACTCGAGAAGTGGAAAGTGAATGAAAAGTTGCTTTTGGTAGGGTTTTTTCCCTGCCCAGAATATTGCAGGTTTGATGAAATGGCACCATATAAACTCCAGACAGGACAAAGTACTGGGACACTCAATGTAATATTTAGAAGAATCCTCTTTATATTTGCTTATAAGTTTTCAGCTTAGCTGGAGACTCCCCATCCCAGTTTTCTCTCTCTGCCATCCACTGGTACTTCTGCTGGTACTCTCCATTAATATTCCTAATATTATCACTATTCACCCACTTGAGACAAAAGATTCAGCTATAAGAGCAAAGCTAAATGTGTGCATGGTTTTTCCCTTTGTTGAAAGAAGACAGGTGGTATACTTTTCTCTGAATAGTTTTAGCAACCCTGTGCTCTGGGAACAACTGAGTCTAGGAAGAGTAGGCGCTCTGTCTCTGAGTCAGCCAAATTTCAGGCTTCCACAAACTGCTGTGCCATGGTTGTCCCGGCTTATCTTCTCAGTTGGCTGCTGTACAGCGACAAATTGAAAGTCTTGAAATACAGGCAGTTTCATACAGGAATTGGAGGCTAGCAGGACATCCTGGGAGCTTCTCTTTTTAAAAAAATCATGAGCTTGGAAACCAAGTCCCAGGCTGTCAGCTCATGGTTAGCATGTCAGCTGGATGACCAAAGCAGTGGGCTAGAAACTGCCTGGAAACCAGACACCTGTTCACAGAGAGGACTTTTAACCTGCATCCAAACCTGAGTTCAGATACATCTTCCTTGTCACCACAGAAGTTTTGTAATTAAGATAAAATAAATTCAAGTAAAAATTTATTTGGGATTAATATGTCTGCTGTATATTTTGTTTTGGGCTTTGAAGTTGGATCTGAAATGATATTGAGCTTTCATATGTCATCAAATATACAATTTAAAAATATGATCTTAGATTTAGGCACTCAGCATTAGTGGAAAATATTGGTATTTTATGAAAATCCCATATATTTAATGGTATATTTTGAAATGAAACGCTTATGTTTGTGGAACACCTGGTATTGTAGGAGTGAGTACCATAAAAATAGATACAAGAAAAAATTAATTTTTACCTTCGGAGTTGGGTTAAAGCAAAGTGCTATAAACAAACCCAGAAGCTCCATATCGAACCTTTTAAAAAAAGCCACAGAATTAAAATCTTGAATAACTCTTCCTTGAACAAAAATTATTCATTCTCTTCAGAAAGTGAGATCATGTTGCTGTGAAAAAATGTGATTTATGTAACTAAAAAATGTATTACTGTGCATTAACACCCGTTGGCTGAAGTGAGAAGCTAGAGGTTGAATTTCTTGACTTTGACATAAGTCAAATAAACTTTAATAAATTTAAGCAGATATTGTGTAACCGATGTATGTGAGAAGAAAGATGATCTACTGGTAACCAGCTTTAGCAGGCTGTGCTTTTAGATGCAGCCTAAACATTCCATTAAATGTTTTCAATACCCTTGCAGAAAAAGACACCTTTCTCAGCAAACACATACCAACATCAGACATACCTGCTGAATAAAAAACTGCATTTAAGCAACAGAAAACAAGCAAGTGCTCTCCTAGACAATTTGACTTTTCAAAGAGCAAAATCCAACATAAACTGAGTGTAAAAACTGTGACCCTGACAGATTATGAAAACAAAAATGCTTATGGGATTAATTGTCATGATGTCAAAACAAGCATCAAATAGAACTACATGACGTAGTTGTATCAGTAGCAACTTGGATCTGCAAAACATACAAATTACTATGTGGGTTGTTATTCCCTAGATTTAGTGCTAAGCATGTCCTTAAATTAATGGGAATTAGAAAGTTCCCAGAAATTTCTAGCAACTTAAATAAGTGCAGAATATTAATGGAAAAAAATTACAATTACTTAGTCTAAGTGGTGCAGAATGCCTCCCATAGACTTAGACTGGAGGGCCAAGCACTTTGCCAGCAGATCAAAAAGGATAAATTCTTTCTGCAATTTTAAGAGAACTGAGGGAGGTGTGGTCTACAGAGCTCTTTCCTCAAGTGCTGAGACTGTGAAGTATTTTAAGTCTTCCAAAACTTTTAGCCTGGGCAAAAAAATATATTGTAAAAAAGGAAAATAGCTTACCTATGGAACAAAATAACAATGCTTTAAAGCATTAGGGACTCCAGCTAGAATTTTTTCAGTACTAAGGAAATCTCAATACATTTTAGAAAAGATCTCATTTTGCTGACAACATCGGTAAGGCAACTATTTATCGTCCTTTTTTCCCCGAGATATTTCTATACCTTTTAATATTGGTTGCTAGGTCATTATTTCTGTCCACCTATTTCAAATTATTTCCTGCATGAATAATGTATTGGCTTCTTACAATAAATGCTTTCCAGACACCATCACGTTTTCATCTTGCTACATTTTGAAGTATATAACCTTACATTTCCTGTTTATGCAATAGTGCTTCAGAATGCACCAAATTTAGCTAAGAGGGATTTAAAGTCTTTATGTTAACTGGAGATGCTTTTGCTTTTAGGCAAGACTAAACAGCTATCACTGAAGTCACATATGAAGCTTTTGTTTCAGTGGTCGTTGACTCAGACCTCTAATGTTTGTTTGTTAAGTATATCTTTAAGGAAAGAGGATAGTGTAGACATTTGCAATGTTGGACCAGTTACAAGATCAGATTTAATTTTTTACTACCAGAACCATGCCATTCTTTTCTACTGAATTTTCACCACCTACCAGGTATTGCCAGATATGCTAACAGTCATTTCTGATCGTTTCATAACTAGGCTTAATTAACAGGATGTTTTGCTATAAATTTAGATCAGGTTTTCTAGAAGTTGTGATGTATTCAGATATATTGCCAAGATTGTTACGTCCACAGTTTTTATATATTTAGTGGCACCAAAGTTTTTATTTACATTTTGAAGCACTGATTTCTGATCACTCTAGTACTTCTACTGGTTTGCTTCAAGGATAGCTTACAGATTTTTTTTTTTTTTAACATTTTGAAATGTTTCTCATTAATCCAGCCCTTGCTCAGAATGTTAATCTGGGCTTTTATGCTTCTAGCTGAAAACAAGACTAAGGTTAGGTGCACACCAGTGAATGCTTGCAGCAGTAATCAATTTAAATGTGGTACCTCACAGTTAGAACTGAACACAGCATCATACTGACATTTACATCTAGCAAAAGTAACAGCATTGACAGATAGCTGGCAAAACATCTGGTTCAGAAAACTAGTAACTCCCCTTCACAGCTGAATGGTAAGAGTGAATAAGTCTCTGATTCTAGAATATAAGACATCAGATGAAATAAGGTAATGGGCTAGTTTATGAAGAAAGCAAAATTAGAAGGCTAAGCATAATATTCAATATTATATGCTTCATTTTGCTACTAAGAGCTAAACTTCTTCCTTAGAAAGGCATTTCCTTAGACCTCTGCTTCTCTTATGACTGTTTCCATGCACAAAATGGTGTCTCAATGACAAATATTAACACTAGATTTGTTTCATATTCCATGACCATTTTTGCCCTGAATGTTGTTCCATTAGCATCAGTATTTAGAACATCAAAAATCAAGGAATGTAAGCTGGCTTTGTGAGTGCCTAATGCAAATTTAATAAAATATCCTTGTTCATGTAACTGGAGACAGAGCTCAGCTCTACAGGCTCAGTAACCCTTCTCCCTAGGACCTTAACAAGTCATAATGTTTCAAGAAAAAGAAGATCTGTCCATAATATTTTTAGGATCAAATTAATACTGGAAAGTTACTGTACTTGGCAGCACTGTTTGGGATTCCACAAAGGTCATGTGCAAAAATTATTAAATTAAAATACCTATAAGTGGGGTCAATGGCCACTGTTTCTTAGGCAAAATCCCAAAGCCAAGTAAGGTTACCTAGACAGGCAGGAATACAGACAGTCTCAGCTTCACCGAAGAAATATTTGAAAGGTTTAAGAAACTAACAGTCCTTGCAGCTCAGCATCAAAATGGCACAAAACAGCTGAACAAAAATGTAGGAATAAATATTACATAAGCTCCAGTTTCTCCGGGGAGCTTCATTCACTTTACAGATCATAATATCAACTCCCTTAGATCTGAAAAACCTATTTTTAAACCAAAGGCACTATTTATAAACCTGGCCTGAATCAAGAAGTCCACGTGCACATTAAATTTGAATAGCGTGATGGGCCTGTGGGCTTTGCTTCTCATCAGCAAATTAACCCTGATGCTGCAGGTGGTGATGCAGGGAAATTTGAACGGCTTAAAGCTGACAATGAACCTTTTAGCTTTAAGCACATGTAGGAAAACCTTTCTCTTTTAAGCTGAAAAAAGATCTTGTATTATTTAGCGGTTTTCTTAAAACCTCATTCAAATGTACTCCTCTGTCACATAATAAAAGGGATTTTCAGACCCTCCATCATCTAGCTGGGACACTAATGAAACCAGTGTGTAATTAGAGGCATGGCAATTGCCTACAGCTGTAATGATGTCAGGCAGGTAGCTTGTGTGCTGATTTTGGTTGGGATAGAGTTAATTTTCTTCACAGTAGCTAGTATGGGGCTACGTTTTGGATTTGTGCTGGAAACAGTGTTGTTTACCCAGGGATGTTTTCTTTATTGCTGGGCAGTGCTTACACAGAGTCAAGGCCTTTTCTGCCTCTCACCCCACCAGCGAGGAGGCTGGGGGTGCACAAGAAGCTGGGAGGGGACACAGCTGGAACAGCTGACCCCGACTGACAAAGGGATATCCCAGGCCATAGGATGTCATGCTCAGCATAAAAAGCTGGGGGAAAGATGGGGCAGGAAGAGGAAAGAAGATGTTTGGAGTGATAGCATTTGTCTTCCCAAGTAACTGTTACATGTGATGGAGCCCTGCTTTCCTGGACATGGCTGAATGCCTGCTGATGGGAAGTAGTGAATTAATTCCTCAGTTTGTTTGTTTTGCTTGTGTGTGCAGCTTTTGCTTTACCTATTAAACTGCCTTTATCTCAACCCATGAATTTCTCACTTTTACTTCTCTGATTCTCTCCCCCATCCCACCGGGGGGGAGTCTGAGAGCAGCTGTGTGGTGCTGAGTTGCTGGGGTTAAACCATGACAGGTTGTTAGCACTGATGAGAGAGTATTAAGTATTTATGGTTTGAACTCATTTATAATCTTACTAAGGTAGAGATTCTGAGTGTCATAGACAAGTTCAAATACTGCAATGACCTAAGTAACCTCAACTTTTAACTGCAGTTGATAGAAATTCAGCCTGCTGCATCTTGCAGGTCTGGACAGCTGGAGAACTACATAACAGTATATTTGAGAGATATGGAAGAATAGATTTGTTAAAGACCATGTTATCAGAATAATCCATATTGTAATACTTTATTCCAGTGTGCTGCAAGTTGAAGAAAATTTGACATAATCAGTACAGCATAAGTGAAAGATTATACTGATGCAATCTGAAAAAAAAAAAAAAGTTATACTGTATTTAGATTATAATAATTATCATACAATAACTTCCAGTGAAGCTGCAGCAACAATTTAATTTGAAATGCCTATGCCATCTTCTGGCCAAGAAAATTAGATGCATGAAAAAGTAATTGGCAGAAAATGGCAGTGAGGAATTATATAATACTCAGAATATGAGAACGGAGGATTTTGGTGTTAGATCCAAGTTGACTGTAGCTGAACGCTATACAGATGTGATTAAGTACTTCTGCAGATATGCCAAATGGCATGTAGTTTTCTGTGACTTTATCACCTACCGTCTTTTTCTGGAGTCCCATGGCACACGTGTGAGTGAGACCGTTACTGCTCTCCTTCTTACAGTCTAAAAATATTTGTCAGTGCTATTCTTGGTGTTTCAGTCATGAGAGGAAAGTGATGTGAGTTTTACTGTCAGGCAGAGAAAGGGACTGATTCCATATGCTGGATGAGTGCTACGGATTTGGGATGCATCTTGCCTCTGGCAGTTTTGTATGACTGGGCTGCTTTGAAAATTTCTCTTGTATTGGACCTCTTGCATGATAGAACTACTTAGTTTGTACATGGCAGCAGCTTTAGTAGGTGCATGGGATATTGAATATCTCGGCACTGGTACGACTGAGGTATTTCTGGGTATGACAAAAAGGGTAGTGCTATCCCCTGGATGAA